AATCTTTCCCAGCATCAGGGTCTTTTCCAAAGAGTCCTCTCTTCGCATTAGGTGACCAAAAAATATGTAAAAAAACATGATTGGTTACATTGTTGCACAGATGCACTTGATTCCATGTTACATACTAACATCCCATAATAAGCTTAGCATGTTCTATGTTTTCTAAAATTTCTACTTGAGGGGTGCGTGTTTTACTATGTTAATTAGCTTTTGGTTACACTAGGGTCGTAAGCGGTCTCATAACTGGGTCATTCGATGGTTTCTGAATACCTCAAAACCATTCCTCTTCCCCTTTTCAAGGTACGACTTTTCTACCTGCTGTCAAATGCATTCGATGGTTTCTGAATACCTCAAAACCATTCCTCTTCCCCTTTTCAAGGTACGACTTTTCTACCTGCTGTCAAATGCATTCGATGGTTTCTGAATACCTCAAAACCATTCCTCTTCCCCTTTTCAAGGTACGACTTTTCTACCTGCTGTCAAATGTCTGCTGCACAAACCATATCTTCTTGAAACTCAACCACAAGCGTTTTATAGTGGGCCCTAGTAAATATGCACTCTAACAATATTCTATCTACCATGTGGCCCTCACCACCCTCTTCTAAGGGTCCCCAAATTCTTTCAGTAGCAAATTTTACTGTTTCATTGTAGGCTGAAGCCCACTTAATAGTTTAAATTAATTTTAACTGATTAAGCACCTGTGTTCATTAAATTCAAAAGCACTGAACAAATTAGATTCTTTTTGTTTTGTTTTGTTTGGAGTTTGTTTATTTTAGGGTAGCAAAGTCACACAGTTGATTGTTTGACAACAGTTAAACCTGTTTTTGCATAAAAGCAATATTTTTAAAATTGATATGTCTTCTTTATTTTGAAATGCTATGCCTACCATACTGTAACTAGCAGCTGGTAATTTTAGAAGAAGCACTTATTTGTGTAAAAGACAATGGGTATGCTTATGCTGTTCTCTAATTCCTGGTTTGTCTCATCTCTAAATCCTGATTTGCTCATCTTTATGGAATAAAATGCTACTGGCGAGTTTCAAAAAATAAACTAAGCCATAAACTACATTTAAAAATACATTGGTTGGGTTTATATAATGTGTTAAGCCACAGCCAAGCAAACCCCATTATGGCTTAGTGGTTACAGTTTTCATTAAGACATTGTTTAATTCTGCATTTTTAATATAAAATTGACAAAAATATACAAAATATCTGAATAATTGGAGCTTTCTGTTAGCATTTTTAATTGATTAAAGAGTGCAGTTCTAGTTCAGTGGAACTCCGTTCTAAGAACAGGGAGTTTGAAACTAAGATGATATTATTAACAGTATTACTATCCTAAGCATATTTATTCAGAAGTTAAGCATAAGCTCCATATGCTTGAACATGTATGTTCAGTCTTATGGAACCACCCAGTAATAGTCTTGTTGAACTGCATAGTATAGATCTCCTTCTAGTTACACACAGGAAGGAATGGATCATCCTGCACATTACAGCGACATTGCAGTAAGTATTAAATTGAGATTCAGCAGAATCTTAGGCATGTTTTATCTTTGAAAATTCCATGCCTGCCTGCCTGCCTACTGACTATAAATCAAGGTTTCAACAAGAAACCTTAAGATTTTCATCTAATGATCCTCCCTCCCTAAATCTACAGTATGACTCTGCATTTAAATATAGTATATCCTCAGATTACCATAAATACTTTCCCCATTATCCCTCAATTACTGAAGGTAGGTGATAGACTCGGGAAAGAAAATAGGGCTCAAAAATAAGGTAGAGGTGTCTACATACAGAAGAAAGAAGACTTCCTAACATATACAAAAATCTATGGTTGTCCATTAAAAAGAAATTTATTACTCTTAATGAGTTTTCAGGTATATTTCGTGGGGGGAGGGGGAGGGACTAGAGAAGAAGAAATTATTTCAGGAGGGAAGACAAGGAAATGTTTTCTCTTTCTTATTTTCCAGAATTGTCCCTAATATATTAAAATCCTGATTTTAACCAAATTAAAATATCTGGGTCATACATAATGCCAAACCATAAACCATAGCTTAGAACCCTTATCATTTGAGTTCTTACAGTGCACTCAGTTACATCATTGTATTTGTGCCACATACTTAGCCTCCACAACATTTTAGACTAACAAGTATTTGCAAACCAAGCCCACATAACTAATGTTGTGTGAACTAAGAAAATTATGTTAATTTGATAAACACAGTTCAGTTACCCAGGGGTAAACATGTTGTGTGAAAAGTCACTCTCTTGAATAACTGAGGGCATCCTCATCCAGTGCTATTTATCTCAGCAGAAAGTGGCCTTCAGAAGGTAACACAAAAGTGATATCAGCTGTACTTTCCCTTTCCAAGAGCCCTGAACTCTACTAGGTTTCCGTTCCCATCAGATGGACTGGTAAGCAGAAGCCGCACTTGTGCAACACACCTATCTTTTGCTGTTTAACAGGTTGAAAATTGCACTGGGTAGCCATATTATTTCTTTTCAGGTAATATTTTGTCTCCTGATTTCTCTACAGGAATAGGATAGTTTTTGGCTATCTCTGAATATACAGGGGGAAGAGGAAGAGGAAGAAAAAGAAAAAAGAAGAGTCTTATTTTTACGATTGCAGTGTATTGCAATTGGAGTTACATTTACATGTCATTTATCTTGAGAGTTTAACACTTTTATTCTGGGAGTTATAATTTTGAGAGTTACAGGTACTGACAGGGTGCCCACCTCCTTTATTAGGAGGCTAGAGTACTGCTATTTTTTGTCCCAATTATGAGAAAGCAATGGGAGACAGGGCAATTTTGACTGTCCCTTATAAAACAGTAGGGCAAGGGATGGTTATTTTTTTCCCACCTGCAATATAGATTGAATTTTTAGAATGATGTAACTTTCTGTCAGTGGTGGGCTCAGAAGTTCACAGTTGTAATGAAATTGTTTGTATAACCAATATACCTCATCTTGCAAACAAAACATTGGTGGGAGATTTAGTGGAGGAGTGTTTAGGTATTATTCCTACCAAGCACACATTTTCTGCTCCATGTTAATCCAGTCCAGCTTTTCCACCATCCCAGAATATTTACCTCATTGTTTCTACAGTCTCTGTTTAGTGATCTCTTGTATCTTTTGAACAGGAACAACTTTCTGAGCCAGCTTAGCCCAACGGTTCCTTCGCACTGACTTTCCTGTCTGCTTCAATCGCCGCTTCCTGGCAGTTTGAGTCCCGTGGGCGCTGTCTGGCTTTTTTTGGTCTGCTCAATTTGATTAAAATATATTTTTGAAAATATCTCCTGAAACCTGAGACAGAAAAAAAAAAACAGAATGGAAAAGGGCTGGAACACACATTCTAAAAATAAAATGTCCAGTCCAGCTCTTATATCATCCAAGAATGTTTACCCCATTGTTTCTATAATCCTTGTTTAGTTGTCTCTTGTATCTTCTGAAGAGAAAACATACCTCCAGCTAGCTTAGCCTAGTGGCCCCTTCACAGTCTGGATCTGATTGTTCTTTAATTGCTAGTTATTAGCAGTTCAAATCCTGTGGGCACTGTCTGGCTTTTTGGTTATAACACATTTTTTAAAATACCTCCTAAAACCAGAGGGAGAATAAAAATCAGAATGGAAAAGGGCTGAAACACACACTCTAAAAGTAAAATTTCCAGACCACCTTTTACATCGTTGGTGAATCTTTACCCTATTGTATGTACAATCTTTGTTTAGTCGTCTCTTGTATCTTCTGAACACAGACAGCTTTCTGAGCCAGCTTAGCCTAGCGGTTCCTTCGCAGTCCAAGTAATTGTTCTTAAACTGCTAGCCACTAGCAGTTCGAGTCCCGTGGGCGCTGTCTGGCTTTTTGGTACATTTTAATATACCATCTAAAACCCAGGACAGCATTAAAATCAGATGAAAATGGGCTGAAGCACA